CTAACCCAATAAAATTCAACTCATAAACCCATGAAAAGTTGAAAACTCATCAAATCTAACTCTAAATATTAAGCAATTAACCAATATATCAAAATTAAACCAAATCCCCAAATCTCTGCCACTTAGGGTTTCATCAATTCTTTAAACCATATTCAAAATTAACTCAATAACTAACCAAAATTTATCAAACCCGACTTAAAACAATAATTAATTAACCCATACATCAACATAAATAAGATTAAATCAAAACCCACATCAAAATCTAGAAATTATTTCAAACCCATTTATTAAACTCAACAAAAACCCACCATTCATGATATTTTCATCAATTAAGAAAGCTAAAAGAAAAGAATTTTAAGTAAAAAAATAAAAATAAAATGAGCACCATCTTACCTTGTAAGTTGTAATGCAAAGGAGTAACCTTTCTTGAATATCCAACCAAAGGAAAAGTATAATATGAAAGAAAATGAAAAAAAGAGAAAAGTTTAATAAGTATTAATTAATAATTCATTTTGTGGGGTCAACATAAAGTTAAGTGAGGTTAAAATTATAAAATTCATACAATATTACTACTTTTTTGAAATTTTTGAAAAATCAAGTGGGTTCAATTGAACCCACAACCCATTATGTGGCTACGTGCCTGCTCGAACCCAACGACAACTTCATCAACTTAATCCATGATTCCTTCACTCCATATTCCTTCATAATCCAATCTCTGGTGTATATACACTAATACTTTCCTCCATTCCAAGTCGATTTTCACAAAGGCATTCCCCAAAAATACTTAGTGAAGTCCTAAAAGTACCTGCAGAAGGAGGAGGAGATTGAATCTCCTTGAACTTCTCCTCTACTAAATCAAAGTAAATTATTTTATTAACCCCAACTCCATTTATGCTCAACGTTACCCAATGTGGAGCTCCATGCACAAGTTTTGTTCCTCTTTCATAGGGTAAGTACTCGTTAGGGAAGAAAATATTTCCAAGTTGTTTCGAGTTCCTGTAAGGGAAGTGAACATTTTCAAGTTGTTTCCATAAATTTGTCTTGAGATTATAAACATAACCACGAACTAAATTACTCATCCGTAGATTAAAAATCACTACCACTTTTTAATTATCAATAGATGAATTGTAACCACGCCCTTTAGCAGTAAAGTCTACAACATCAGGAAATGAAACCCCACCAAAACTGCAGTACCGAAAGCTTTGAGGAATCATCTTGAATTCCTTGATCGTTCGATTCCATAGCACGAATATGGTGCCAAGACTCCTGGATTAACCTCATGTCAACACCAGCAGCAGGGCAAATACAGAATCTCTCTGTGACAATGGAATCACTCCAAAGAAAATTCAAATTCGTTGAATGGCCAAAACTGCCTTCATTATTTTCCATTCTTCCTTAAATAACAAACCAATATTACAATCTCCAACTCCAACTAGGAAAGCAATAAACTAGGAAGAAGTAAATAGGAAAGCAATAAACTCGGAAAGAAATAAACAGAACAAAAAAACAGAATTGCAACAAATACGTAAGCTTCCTAAAAATCCTCTACATATCATAACAGCTCCATTGTTTACGGAATTATCGGGTATCCTTCTCCTGATTTGCATCAATTGTCGGCTCTCCTGAAGAACTTGACTCTGGCAAGTTTTGACGAGTGTAAGCAACAAATAGGTGTGGATGTAAACGCTTGATTTGTGAAGCTTGCAACCAAACAGAGTCCGAATTTGGATGATTTTTCCACTGCACTAAGAACTTGTAATATCCGCCCCAACGATTTGTAACAAATTGATGGTCAAGAATGGCAGCAATCTCGTCTCGCGGTGCTGTAGTTTCTGGAACTTATAGAACTGGTGTTACCTCTGGAATAGGTATTGCGGAAATTTCATCGACATCACCCTTGAACTCCGTAAGGTCTTCTATGTTAAAAACGGGGTTAATACCAAAATCAGAGGGTAAGTCCATAACATATGCATTAGTGCCCAACTTCTTGGTTACTCTAAAAGAACTTGCTCAGTGTGCATGAAGCTTGGTAAAACTTCCCGGAGGGAAACTCTCCGGCCTTAAACGAACAAGAACCATATCCCCTTCATTAAATTGCCGATCCTTGTGTTGTGCATTTGCTGAAGCTGCATAAGAATTTGTATGGAAGGTAAGGTGCCGTTTATAGAAACACTGCAAGGATATTAAAATGGAAGCTTTCACCTTATATTATATTGAAACTTTACAAAGTAATATATACAAGTCTGTGATCTTACAGCAGTAAATTCCTAGGATATACATCAGTTACAATATTTCAAAAACAGAAAACGTATGACAGCAAATATTCTACAGTAATTGCAAATCATTCATGCAGATTTCCGTTTCTGATTTTCTTTAATGTGTTGACTTCCTTTTGTATCACTTTCCTTAATACCGTTTGCATTCATCATGGACATCTCGCATATAGCTAGAAAAATCTAGTGCAGCCTCACTTGGTCTGTGTGGCAATGGTAATGAATTAACATCAAGTGGAGTGCTAGGTCGGAACCCATAAACCACTTTGAATGGAGTGCAGCTTGTTGACCTGTTAACAAAATTATTGAAGGCAAATTTGGCATGTAGAAGCACTATATCCCAGCTGGTCACATGATCCGTGACGAGGCAGGGTAATAAATTTCCCAAACTTCTACTGGTTACCTCAGTTTGGCCGTCAGTTTGGTGATGGAATGCACTAGAAAACATATGTTTTGTTCCCTTTTTGTCCACAATGTCTTCCAAAAATAACTTACAAATTTGACGTCCCTATCAGACACAATCGAAACCGGGATACATGCAAATGGATGATTTCCTGCAGAAATATTGCAGCAACTTTTGATGCATCATAAGTTTTGTGACATGGAATAAAATGGGACATCTTGGAAAAGCGATCGACCACCACCATAATTGAATCATGTTGTCGAAGAGTTCTTGGCGAACCAAGAACAAAGTCCATACTAATATGCTGCCATGGTTTGTCTGGAATGGGAAGTGGCGTATAGAGCCCCGCTTGTTGCTTGGTTCCTTTATTTAATTGGCAAATTCGACATCGATCAACCATTGTATGCACGTCTCTCCACATCCAAGGCCAATAGAACCAATAAGCAACAATAGCAAAAGTTTTATCATGACTGAAATGCCCAGCTAAGCCCCCGCCGTGGAGTTCCATAATTAGAAACTCCCGAAAAGAACCACGCGAAACGCATAGCCATGATTTGTAAAATAAGAAAATATCGTGCAACATATAATCATTACCATATGCGCGCTCATGAGTGGAGAGATCACTCCATACCTTGCCGAAGTCTTCATCATTGGCATACTCTGTTTTTAGACTATCGAACCCTGCAACATTAGCTGAAAACATATGTAACAAGTGTGGTCTCTTGCTTAAGGCGTCAGCCACCTTATTTCCAGTCCCTGACTTATGTCTAATAACGAATTCGAATTGCTACAGATAGTCCATCGAACGAGAATGTCGTGCATTCAGTTTACTTTGAGAATTTAAATGCTTCAAAGAATCATAGTTTGTATAAAGAATAAACTCTCAGTGGATCAGGTAGCCGCCATTAGGGGGGGAAGGTTGAGGGTGTAAGTTTCTCATTAATTTAGCAGTGATATTGAAACAACAATGGGATTTTTCGTGTAGAAGAAGAGTTGAGCATTTGGAGTTGGATTGGGGAAGACATGATGGCGTTTTGGATCGGAATCTCGTTAGAGTCTGGTTTGCTCTGATACCAATAGTAAAAACACGTGGGTTCGAATTGGTGGGGTTTCGGGATTGTTGGATGACCTAGGTTCAGTGATTTGGGATGGTTCATGATGAATTAATGGAGATGGGTTTGTGGAAACCGAGTTGAAACCCGAATTCGTAAGTTGAGAACTCGGATTTGGAAAGCCTAGGTCAACTTGTGAGTGTGTGAACTCTTGAGAGGAAGAAGAAGAAGTGTTACCTGAAGATGATGCGATGACGACGGCTGCAGTTTCCGAGAGCACTGGTGGCGGTGATGAAGACAATGGAGACTCCGTGTGCACTGGAGAAGATCGCACAGTTGGAAGAAAAAAATGAGTCAAACCTTGCGAAGAAGGAAAATGAGAGAAGGAAGTGTGCAGTGGGCTTTGTTTGGTTTGTGGGCTGAGTAATGATTTTAGGCTTGACATTTCATCAAAAGTTACATGTCGTGAGATGTAAATTTTGTTGGATGTGGGGTCCATGCATTTATATGCATTTTGATTTTGAGAGTAGCCAAGAAAAATACATGGTATGGATTTGGGCTGTAATTTGTGGGTGTTATAAGGCCTTGTCAATGGAAAACACACACTTCCAAATTTTCTTAGCTTTAGGTAGTTGGGCTTTTGTCCAAAAAGAGCCTCAAAGGGAGATTTGTTTTGCAAAAGAGGAGTGGGTTGACGATTTATGAGATATGTGGCGGTTTGAAAAGCATGAGGCCAAAATGAGAGAGGTAGAGATGCATCATGAAGAAGAGTGAGTCCGGTTTCCACAAGATGACGATGACGACGCTCCGATACACCATTTTGTTGAGGTGTATATGGAGCAGTGGTGTAATGATTTATGCCATGAAGTGAAAGATATTTTTTTAAAGTCAAAAATTCACCACCATTGTCAGAGTATAGACTCTTGATTTTGGACTTGAACCGTGTTTCAACAAGATTTTTAAATTGAGGAAAAATTGTAGAAACACCCGATTTGGTTGCCATAGGATAGTACCACATATACTTCGTATAGTGGTCTACAAGAATTAAGTAATATCTAGAGCCATCAAGACCGGTGTAGTGAGCGGGTCCCCAAACATCCGTATAAATAATATCAAGAGGTGCAAAGCTTTGAAAACTAGTGAAACCAAAGGGTTGTTGATGTGCTTTATTCAAAGAACACGAAGTACATAGAGATGAATTTTTTTTTGTGGTAAGCGGAAGGGAAAAAGAATTGACAAGATTTTGAACGATTTTAAGTGATGGATGTCCAAGTCTCTTGTGCCATCCATCAATTGAAGTTCGTTCATGCACATTTGCAACAATCTTGGATGAAGAAGCCACCAGTGAGTTCGGAAACTTGTAGACGCCATTTTCACATGCACCTTTTAGTAGAATCACTCCCGTTGTTTGATCCTTCACAATAAAATAAAATGGGTGAAATTCAACAAAAACATTATTTTGTTTAGTGAAGTGATGCACAGAAATTAAGTTTTTGTGAAGATTGGGAACACAAAGTGTATCACGAAGGTAAAATGTCTTTGTAGGTGAGTGTAAGGCTAATGAACCAACGTGTGAGACTACCAAACCTGTACCATCACCAAGAATAACTTCGTCAGTTCCACAATATTCAGAATGATTTGTCAAATTTGTAGGGTCACTAGTAATATTATGGGAAGCTGCTGAATCCATAAGCCATTTATTGTCAGATGCATTGGTTGTGGCGGTGCAATTTGCCATCAGATCATTTGACTGCAGCTGTGGGCAAGACTTTGCTATGTGACCTAGTTGGTCACAAAACTGACATTTGGGCTGAAAACGCCTGTTATTAGACCGGCCCCAATTGTTAGATCGACGCTGGTCCTTCTGCTGAGCATTTGAATCACGGGCTGAGCCCTGTTGACGAGAAGGTCCATAGGCCTTGTGAGAACCCTTCGACTGGTGCGAACCAGAATGGTTGTTTCGCCTGGCCGTGAAATTCGCAGTAGCAAGGAGCTGCTGTGCCGTCACCTCCATCCTGTGGAGGTAGTTTTCGTGACTGACGAGGAGGTCATGTAACTCCTCAAATGCAAGAGATTTCTCTCTTGCCCTAATTGGAGCAGCAATATCTCTGAAATCGGGACCCAATCCGTTCAAAACGTAGAGAGTGAGATCATCATCCGAGATGGGGTGATCGATGATGGCGATTTCATCAGCAAGTGCTTTCACTGCATGGAGATAGTCTGGAATCGAGCGATTCCCTCGCTGGATCAAGGTAATTTCTTCCTTGAGTTGCATTGCCCTTGTGCGAGAACGATTTGCATACAATGTTGTCAATTTCTTCCATGCCTCATGGGAGGTTTTTGTCGTAGCAATGAGAGGAGTTATGGTAGTGGATGTCGAAGCAAGGATTGCACTTAGGATTAGTTTATCTTGTCTAGTCCAGTGCGTTTTTTGGTTGGAAGATGAAGGGGTGCCATCGGACGATGGACACTGTGAAGTGCCATCAACATAATCCATGAGGTCGTAGCCAATGAGGAGTGCTTCAAATTGAGCACGCCATTGGGGGAAGGTTGAGGGTGTAAGTTTCTCATTAATTTAAGCAGTGATATTGAAAACAACAAGTGGATTTTCTGTGGTAGAGAAGAGTTGAGCATTTGGAGTTGGGATTGGGGAAGACATGATGGCGTTTTGGATCGGAATCTCGTTAGAGTCTGGTTTGCTCTGATACCATATAGAAACACTGCAAGGATATTAAAATGGAAGCTTTCACCTTATATTATATTGAAACTTTACAGAGTAATATATACAAGTCTGTGATCTTACAGCAGTAAATTCCTAGGATATACATCAGTTACAATATTTCAAAAACAGAAAACGTATGACAGCAAATATTCTACAGTAATTGCAAATCATTCATGCAGATTTCCGTTTCTGATTTTCTTTAATGTGTTGACTTCCTTTTGTATCACTTTCCTTAATATTCCCATAACAAATTTTATTTTACTTAGGTGAACAATGCTGGAACAACTATAGCTAAAGAAAGCACGGATTTCACTGCCGAGGATTTCTCAACTTTAATGATTACCAATTTTGAGTCAGCTTATCATCTATCTCAACTTGTACATCCCCTATTAAAAGCATCTGGAAAAGGGAGAATTGTCTTTGTTTCCTCTGTAGCAGGCCTAATAGCTCTACCTCGATGTTCTATTTATGGAGCGACTAAAGGTAAAGTTCAATCTTTTAAATTCTGTTTCCGCGAGAAAGCGACAATATTAGAAACAAGTTACAAGTAAATCTACTCATCATTTGCACTTCAGGAGCAATGAATCAAGTGACAAAGAACTTGGCGTGTGAGTGGGCAAAGGACGATATTCGTGTGAATGCAGTTGCGCCATGGATTATCAGAACCCCACTAATCGTTGCTCTGGAAGTACAAATCTATGCCCTTCTTTATTGTTTTATGTGAATTATTTGTTAAAATTTCTCATTTCATATTTGAAAACTCCCCCCACTGTTTTTGCTGCAGATAGCACACCTTATTAACTGGGATGCAATTCAAAGAAACATTTCAATAGGACAGAAAATTAGAAAACAAAAATACCCCATTATGTCAATAGTGCCACATAATTGTCATTTTTCATAAATCTTTTGTAGTAAAAAGAAATGACTCTTAATTGTTAATATTCGGTTTTCCAGGAAGATCCCCAATCAAAGAAAAATGTAACTCAGCTAATATCCCGCACTCCTATTACCCGTGCCGGAGAGCCTAATGAGGTTTCATCAGTGGTAGCATTCTTATGCCTCCCAGCGGCTTCATATGTCACCGGGCAGGTTTATTGCGTTGATGGAGGATACACTGTCAACGGGTTCTAGACCAACTCAAGATCAAAAAGATCTTTTTAATCAAGGCTTTTGCTATGGCTGATGCTGTCTAATGAATTCTCTATTTTACACAGACAACTGTTGCTGTCTTTTAGTTGTTGATAATGTCATCATGCTCTAAAGTTTACATCTTTGTGTCTAGAATGAAAATCAATTTTCCGGAATAAAAATTTCGTTTCTGTTATTTCAAAACGAACACCATATACAGATGAAACAAAAACATATAGCCGTCTATGACAACTTCATATCCATTAGGTTCAGAATGAGTTTGGGTAACACTTTTTATCTATCAATTTTATAAATTCTTTTTAAACTTAATTTAAAATCACAAGTATTTAATTGAACTAAAACTTAATAGAATTTAAAAAAAAAAACAATTAAAGTCATTTGGAGATCAATCAAGGTGTGGTTGATACTTGATAATAGTCCAAAACCCTGTAAATATTTTGTGAAATTAGCCCATTTAAACTGGGGTGGATATGAGTCACCCCAAGCAACGCATTTCTAAAGAAGGAAAATAATATTTGCCTTTGAATAATTTTATTGAATTAGGAGACGTAGCTTTATACAAGAGATTTCCTAAGATCATGCTAATCTATTCTAGGTAGTCTTAAGTATAAAAAACAACTAAACAAATATACAACTGATACAATATATTTGTCAATGAATGGTAGTCTGTAAAAGGCAACTAAACAAATAAACAACTAATACAATATATTTGTTAATGAATGACCAGATATCATTGACCTTCCCTTCTCAACACTCCTCCTCAAGTTGAAGAGTGAATGTCAAGAACTCCCAACTTGCCTATCATAGTTGAGAAAACTTCCTTTCCCAATGGCTTGGTGAACACATTCGTAAGTTGATTTGTTGAGGCAATATGTTTGGTTAGAGCATCTCCAATAGTACTCTTCATTTTGAAAAGCATATTTCATATAAATAAAGAGCATATTCATTAATTTTTAAATATAAAGAACATAATTTTTATTCAAATCTAATAGACTTTTCAAATTTAATGAAGATACTCTTTATTTTTAAGAAAGAGACTTAATGGGAGAGAGAATTAATAAATAAAATGCATAAAAACTTGTAGTTTATTAATTAAAATTAGGATAGAGAGTAAAATTTGACTCTCTGAATGTGGAGAGTCAAACTCACTCTCTAATTTATATTTTAAAGATAAAAAGTATGTTGGACTATTGTTTTTATGGATAGACTCTTTATAATAAAGAGTTTGGGTCATATAAAGAGTCATTTAGAGATGCTCTTACAACTGAATCATCTTGTATTTTGTCACAAATAAAATGGCAATCCATCTCTATATGTCTAGTTCTTTCATGGAAAACAGGATTGGCAGCTATATATAAGGCAGTTGTATTATCACAATATAACAATGTTGGCTTCAAATGCAATATTCTCAAATCTTTCAATAAATAATGAACGTAGCCAGGATAATTCACAACCTTACACAATGACTATTTCTCACATATATCAATCCACATTAAAATTCTTCACTGAGACAGTGTGTGTAATCCTCTTGCTAGCTTCACGTCTCCCGACCACTATAATCTAATACCTGCAAAATAAAGAAAGCAACGGGGTGAGCTATAAATGCTCAGTAAGTAAACCAAATCTAACTATGCTCTTACTCTGCTGTCCCCGTTTTCGATGTACTGTTTCTAAATTTCTGCTTGCTTTCTCTCTTTATTCTCAGGCGTACTACTTAGCAGTCTTCTATTTTCCTCAAATCTTTCTAAATCCCTCTAGTGTTGTGCTATTCTTTATCATTTTATTTCTCTTCTTTACTAGATTATAACTTTCTGTTTCTTTCTCTAGTCAACAAATCGCTAAGTTTCCTTACTATTTGTCATGTTTATACTTTATGTTCTTTCTAGTATGTATCTAATTTCTGTCCTTTTCTTGTATATCTCTAATTTCTTTTCTATTCTCGTGGGTTTCTATTTTTTTTTCTTCTCTATTCTCATGGGCTTCTATTTTCTTTTCTTCTCTATTCTCACGGGTTTCTATTTTCTTTTCTTCTCTATTCTCGCGGGCTTCTATTTTCTTTTCTTCTTTATTCTCACGGGCTTCTATTTTCTTTTCTTGACTAGTTAGACACGCAATAATAAAATAAAATGTTTAATCTATGCATAAATGCATAAAATGCAATGCACATAAAATGTCTGATGCATATACAAATGATCATGTTTGTATTCTTTCTGAAAATTCTTTTCTAATTCTTTTCCTTTCTTTCCAAAATTCTTTTTGTTTTCTATTTCTTGTTCTATTTTTCTTTCTTTCTGAAATTATTTCTGTATTTTATTTCTTATTCTATTTTCTTTCTTTCTAAAATTCTATCTGTATTCTGTTTTGGTTTGCTGATCGGACTAGGCTGAGGCATGGATTTGGAACCTTGGCCATGTGAGCATATTCTGAAATTATTTTTGGATACAGTACTCATCCACATGCACTTCTAGTAGACTGTACAGTTCTGTTTTCTATTCTGAGGCTGCTCATTGATGGCGGTGTGCATGTGGAAAACTTCTGCATCTCTGTCGCCACTAGCTAATGCAGCAAATGCTCACAGGTTCCCAATCGCAATAGCCCTTTGAAAACATGCTCTGTAAATCTGCAAAATAACTAGCTAGACATTTCCAATAATTATAAAATTTCTGAGATATATGCTATACTATGTCATGCATTTATATGCTACCTATGCATGATCTCAAAATACGTGTCTGACTCTGGCATGTATTCTATTAATTCTAAGGCTTTTATTTCTATACTTTTCTGGAAAGCCCAATTCTATTAACACGCTTAAATTAAACATTTTCTATTTTATTCTTTATTTCTGAATTCTATGCATCGTCATGTGTACGTATAGGATTCTATAATTTCTACATAATTATGTAATTCTTCAATTCTATCATGTTATGTAAAATGTACACGTGCACAAGTACATTAACTCTTATAAATTCTACTCTTTAATATTTTCTAATGTAACAAACATGCCTTGTACAACTTTCTAAATACAAATCTTAATGCCATAAATTTTCACTCTCTTAACGTGACCATCAACATTGTTATACATGCCCTTCTTTCTTCTTTTCTTTTGGCTACATTCTATACATTAATCTATATTGTCATGTTAATCATTATAAATCCAATATAACATATGGCACAACATATATAATTTGGCTAAATTCTAGTTTCTTTCTAACATTCTTAACTAAACTTTTGGCCAATATAACATATTCTCAAGATCTTCTAGCACAATTCTATAGCTTATAATATATAGTAAGGAATGAAAACTATACTCATTCCAATCAATTTCTTAAATAGTCATGTATTTAATATATAAACTAAACTTCTATTTCTTTGATGTTTCTTTGATATTTATACTTGGGAATGCTTTTCTATTCTTTATACAATAAAATCACTTATTACATATTATTTATAACTAATCTCAAAAAAAGAAACAACAATATACTCATTTGGCCAAGCCATTCTTTGAATGATATTTCTAATTTCAAGCATACAAGCTTGAGAATTTATGGTGGCATATTGTAATATTATAATATAATCACTCATCTTTTACTATCGTCAATACTACACTATTGCAACAATTTAATATGCAATTCTTGCCATCATTTTTCTAAAGTCATGAGTTTCAAAACTCATAATTCAACGACTAAATACAATATGTCATTCAAACTAATGCTAAAAGTTCAAGCAACTTGAACCATGCACTAAAAGCCATTCTATATTCGCCTCCGTTGAGGAGAGAGATACGGCTTTCTATCTCTTTGTCCGCTAGGAAATAAGAGAAAAAGATCCCAGAAAAACACAATAACCCGTAGTGGATCTATGAGATATTGGACAACCAGCCCAATTTGAATCAAAAAAAGCTCGCAAAGATAAATCATTCTGAGAAGGGAAAAACAAACCTTGTCTTGGACTGCTTTTCAAATAACGCAATACACGCAAGGCAGCTTCCATGTGTGGTCTCTGTGGTGCATGCATGAATCTACTTAACACATGGACCGAATAGGTGATATCCGACCAGGTAATAGTCCAATAAATTAGGCATCCAACAAGTCGCTTATACTGAGATAGATCTTTAAGCAATTCACCTAAATCCGAGAGCTTTATGTTTTGTTCTATGGGAAAGTTCACAGGTTTAGCACCCAAAAATCCTCCATCTTTTAAAATTTCCAAAGTATATTTTTGTTGTGAGATGGAAATACCTTTCTTTGACCGAGAAACTTCGATGCCCAGAAAATATTTCAAATCACCCAAATCTTTAATCCGAAAATGACTATGTAGGAATTGCATGAGAGCTAATATGGCATTGACATCATTAACCGTAATAAGAATGTCGTCAACATATATCAACAAAGCTGTAAAAGATTTGCCTTTTCGACATGTGAATAACGAGTAATCTACTTTGGATTGAACAATGCCAGCAGCTTGGATAACCGTAGAGAACTTGGCAAACCATTGTCAGGAAGCTTGCTTTAAGCCATATAACGACTTGTGAAGGCGACATACTAGATTCTCCCCCTGCTGCTGAAGACCAGGAGGTAGAGACATATAAATTTCTTCATGAAGATCGCCATGAAAAAAAGCGTTGTTGACATCAAGTTGGTGAAGAGACCAATTCTGGGCAGCTACTAAAGCCAATAAACAACGAATAGTAATCATTTTAGCAGTGGGAGAAAAAGTGTCATGGTAATCTATACCTTCTAGCTATGTGTAACCTTTTGCAACCAAACGAGCTTTGAAAAGCTCAACAGTACCATCTGATTGCCGTTTGATTTTATAAACCTAATGACAACCAATAGGCTTCTTACCAGGAGGAAAAGAAGTGAAGGACCAAGTGTGGTTAGCTTCTAAAGTAGCAAGTTCAAATTGCATTGCTTCTTACCAATGTGAATGAAAAGCTGCTTTGGTATAAGATGTAGGCTCAATATCTTGACTAACAGCAGCAGTAAAAGAGCAATGTTGTGGTGAGTAACGATGATAAGAGACAAAATTACAAATGGGATATCGCGAACCTTTTTGTGGACTTGATGACAAAGGCGGCAAATGGTTGGGAGATGTTACTTGGTTGCACAAAAAATCACGTAAAGTCGTGGGAGGGTGATGAGGTCTTTGAGAGCAGCGTAAAATGGGTTCGGGAGGAGGACAAGTAGGTGATGGCTAAGGAGAAGCTACATTTGATGGTGAGGGTTGTTGGGCAAGAGAAACTGGTTTCGGTGGTGAGGGTTGTTGGACTGGTGGGGAAGGATCAGATGCAAAAAAAGGAATCACAAGGGTTGAATTTGAGGAAGTGGATGGAATGGATTCATAAGAAAAAATAGTTTCATGAAAAACAACATCACGGCTAGTGAACAGTTGGTGGGTGGCAAGGTCATAGAGCTTGTAAGCTTTCTGACCAACTAGATAGCCAAGAAAAATACATCGTTTGGCTCGAGGAGCGAATTTATGGGGGACGTGCACATCAGTAGCATAGGCAAGGCACCCAAAAACTCAAATATGGGAATAAGAAGGAAGCTTACCATAAAGTCGTTCAAAAGGTGTTTGGCGAGAAAGGAGTGGTGTGGGCAAACGATTGATTATATGAACAGAAGTAGAAACACATTTTGCCCAAAAATGTAAAGAAAGGTGGGCTTGAAAACAAAAAGCTTAGCGGACTCAAGAATATGGCGTTGCTTGTGCTCTACAACCCCATTTTGTTAAGGAGTATAGACACAAGAATGTTGGTAAGTGGTCCCTTTTTGTTTAAAAAATTCCCACATAGAGAAGAATTCTCCACCATTATCAACCTGAATGTTGGCTATAGAAACATGGAATTGTGTTTGGACAAATGAGAAAAAATTGACAAGTAAATGTTGTGTTTCACTTTTGTGATGCATAAAAAATACCCATGTGAATCTAGAATAATCATCCACAACAGTCAAAAAATATTTCGCACCAGAAAGAGAGGCAATTTTGTAAGGGCCCCAAATGTCACAATAAATTAATTCAAAAGGTCTAATAGATAACATTGAACTAATAGAAAACGGAAGTCGACTTTGTTTTGCAAGTGCACAAACATCACAAGCATTATTAGACTGAAAAGGAAAATTTAACAAATGTTTTGCCATAAAATCTAATCTAGAGGAAGACAAATGCCATAATCGACGATGCCACAAAGCGGTGGAGGAGGTGACCTGAGAACTGGGTGAACGGCAAGAAGTGGCTGCTGTGGATGGAGTTTGAGGTTTTGGCTTCTCTGGCGCTAACGCAACCAAGTAATAAAGTCCGTCTCATTGTTCACCCAAACCAATCATCGTCCTCGTCATCAGGTCCTGCAAAATACACCAATGAGGAAAAAAGATTATGAACAATTGAGATCTCTGGTAACTCGACTCACAGACATTAAATCCACCTTAAAAGATGGCACACCAAGCACATTTTTTAAAGTAACAGCAGAATTCAAAGGTAAATTCCCAATGGATGTAATCAGAGCCTGTTCTCCACTTAACATAGAAACTGGTGGCAAAAAAGTGTTCTTACTGCTATTGACAAGCAAAGTTGGAGATGAAGTAATGTGGTTTGTGGCACCACTGTCTATAATTAATTGATGGAGGTGCAACAATGTTTTAACAAACCTGAGGAAGCAGCATTAGCTTTAGGATTGGCGGATTGTGTTGTCCCTTTACCCTACATGATAGATAAGATTTGCTGGATTTGCAAATCAAAGAGCCCATTTGTCACTGACTGCACTTCTTGCATTATTGGACTTTCCTTGACATTGTTGACTAAAGATTGATGGCTATGGTTGCGCTTGAAATGAGTGTTTCCTTGATTAGACCTATTTGATGCATGTTTAGGGTGTTCTGGTGGGTACCCATTCAGCTTTCAACATGTTTCTCGCACATGATGGTCACGGTCACAATAAGAGCAATGCAAAGGTTTTCAATTAGATGGGTTGGAACAAGAAGAAGAACCTTGTCCATGTCAAACAGCCAGAGCCATCGGTTTAGCCCTTCGAACAACCATGGCTGAGTTCTTCGTCTTCTCACATGCAGCCCCCGGGCTTCGCTGCTTCTCCTCTTGTACAATGGAAGAGTAAGTCTTGGCAACATCAGGTAATGGATTCATCAATAGAATTTGCCCTTGGATTGCACTATAGGACTCATTGAGTCCCATGAGAAATTGCATCAATCTGCGTCTTTTATGGTCTGCCCCAGAAGAGCAAACGGTGTCATTATAGGATCCTAGTTCATCCCATAATTTTTTTAGCCTTGTGTAATAAGCTGCAACAGTCATCTGATCTTGAGCAAGACAAACAATGTCCCTTCAATCTAAAAAATACGAGGGAGCATTGCTTTAAGAAAAACGATCTTGAAGGTCTTCCCATACCTCCTGGGCGGTGGTCGAAAAACTAACACTGTCTGCAAGGTCCTGTGTGAGTGAATTGAGAATCCAAAAGAAGATCATATCGTTGCATTTTATCCACGAAGCATAGTCGTCTAGTTTGGCTGTGGCAGACGACATTGTGGTGGTCTCGTCTATGAAACCTAACTTGGATTTGGCGTTTAAAGAAATCGTCATGGCTCTACACCATGTCGAATAATTATCCCCATTGAGGGGCTTGGAAACAAGCACCATTCCTGGATGATCGAAATGATGAAGAAAATATGGATTGGCAGCATCAAGCTTGCCTCCATTTGAAGGTTGCTGTTCTGTCATGATAATGAGAAACAGCAATAAAAAGAAGGCAAAAAGAAAGGGGTTAGAGGCAGAGAGCTAGGGTAACATTCCCTGCTCTGATACCATGTAAAGAAGGAAAATAATATTTGCCTTTGAATAATTTTATTGAATTAGGAGACGTAGCTTTATACAAGAGATTTCCTACAATCATGCTAATCTATTCTAGGTAGTCTAAGTATAAAAGGCAACTAAACAAATATATCCTACAATCATGCTAATCTATTCTAGGTAGTCTAAGTATAAAAGACAACTAAACAAATATACAACTTATACAATACATTTGTCAATGAATGGTAGTCTATAAAAGGCAACTAAACAAATATACAACTAATAAAATATATTTGTCAATGAATGGCCAGATATCATTGACCTTCCCTTCTCAACAGCATTTGCCATCCTACTGCTTTACACGAGACAACAAACCTTACATAAGCCTTGACATGTGGAAGACATGCTGCCCAACTTCTGTTCAAAGGGGTTGTCTTGACTGTTGTTTTTACTTTTAAACATCCACTTTAGTTGATATCTCCAACTGCAAATGTTCAATCTCAAGAATTTGATTATTGTCAAAGATGAACATGACTGAAGCAGATATCAACAGTAAAGGAAAACGGTGGTCCCTCAAGGGAATGACTGCTTTAGTCACCGGTGGAAGCCGAGGCATAGGGTCGGTGACCTCAAATATAATTTTTCGTTTTCCGTTTCATTAATCAGTTGTTTATCATTTTCTGTAAGTCCCATTTGTTTTTGTATTTGGAGTTAGGCATGCAATAGTAGAAGAACTAGCAGGATTTGGTGCAGTTGTCCACACTTGTTGTCGTAACCAAAAAGAACTTGATCGATGTCTACAACAATGGAAAACCATGGGTTTTACAGTGACAGGATCAGCATGTGACTTGTTTTACCCTGACCAAAGGGAGAAATTGATGGAAACTGTCTCCTCTCTCTTCCAGGGAAAGCTCAACATCCTTGTGAGTTTATTGAAATACATATCAGATTGTAAATTCTGCAAGTTCTTATGATCTCTAACTTGGCCTTCCAACATCTAAAATTTATTTATTTATTTCTTTAAAATTTCATACTTTTTTAATGGAAATGGTCGATTTGCTTAGGTGAATAATGTTGGGACAACTATCCGAAAAGAAGTTGTAGAATTCACAGCTGAAGATTTCTCAACTATTATGGTTACAAATTTTGAGTCTGCCTACAATTTATGTCAACTTGCGCAACCCCTTTTGAAAGCTTCAGGATATGGAAGCATTGTATTTAATTCCTCCATTTCAAGTTCTGTGGCTATATCTCTTTCATCTATCTATGCAGCATCTAAAGGTATCTTTTTAATGGCAAACTTCGTCTTTCTGTTTCCAGGAATTCGCATATCTGCTGATGTTTTTACCTTTTTATTGTTTCAGGAGCTATGAATCAATTTACAAAGAACTTGGCATGTGAGTGGGCAAAAGACAATATAAGAGTTAATGCTGTTGCACCTGGCCTAATCAGAGTAGAGAGACCGAAATCCATGATGGTACAAACCTCTCCCCTGTTCTCCCCTTTCGTGAGAATGGATGAAATCTCTTATAACATATCTTTTGTTCATCATAAGGAGTCTGATCTTAATCTTTGCTTGCTTTCTTCTTTAGTTTTCATATGTAAAATCTTAAGTCAATGTTTTGGTTGATGCAATGATGTTCATTTATGAATCCATCAAAGTTTTCACTATTGCTGCATTAAATTAAGATTCCTCTTTTCACAGGAAGATCCTAAGAACAAGAAGGGCTATGATGACGTGATGTCTCGCACTCCGATGCATCGTCCAGGAGAACCTAATGAAGTTTCATCATTGGTGGCATTTCTTTGCTTTCCTGCCGCTTCATATATCACAGGGCAGATAGTCTTTGTTGATGGAGGATATACTGTGAGTGGTTTCAGCACTTAAACAGAAATCCTTCAACAATCTTGCTGAGACTACAAGGTCGGTCAAGAGCTATAATCTGAATTATGCTTTTTCAAATAACCTTCCCTCTTGTAAGGACCCAAGTTTGTTTGTTGTTTGAAGAGAAATTGTTATTGAATATCATATGAATTATGCACTTTCTCTTCATCAAATAAAAAGTTTTGAATTCTTTCAAAAGGTAGTACGATTAAACGAGACCTGGAAATTCAAATGAAGATATCGTATATAACCTCAAATTTCAGTCAAAATCCAGGAATTGAGAAAGAAAAAAAACTTCTAAGCCTGCTCCTTATTTCCCATCTTCCCTCTTATAATATATGAGTTGTATGCATCAAGGCAAGTCCTTACTGTTAAAGTTCACTTATCCAGTTTGTAGTTCTGGCCCCATGAAGCTGGATCAAGATGACTTGGCCCCTGGAAGCTTAATAGACCCAGGCTTGGCTTTCTAAGTATTTAAGTCCCTGAAATTTTATGATCATCATCTCCTTCATATAAAAATCAGAGGCCTGGACGTAGCTATTCCCTTGAGTCGCAGCAGTAATTCATATCTAGAAAAATTATTTTAGAAAAACATCAGGATCAAAGTAAAATGACTAACGATCAGATTAGAGAAGGTTAATTGCTTATTACATAGGGCGAGTTGGGACTCACGTTGACAGGTCATATTAAGCATTTTCCACAGGACCACAAGCAAGAATTTATGCAAACATAAATTCATGATAAGAAAGGTGAATGAATTTAGAGTAATTTTTGTTCAGGTTGACACTTTGACAGATATTATTAAGTATTCTCCAAAAGGCCACAAACAGCAATTTAGAGCATACAGAAATTTATGAGTAGAAAGGTCTCTTGGTTTGTATTTCAAGTGTGTGGCACTAATCAATAATTGACATTTTAATTCACAATACTATATCATCATCAATATGATAATTTACGATTCGTATCACATTATACGGCTCTTCTGTGACTTCTGTCACAGAAATTCGATAACTAGCAAAGATAATCATGGGAGAAGAAGCGATCAACATGAAAGAAAGAAGATGGTGTCTCAAAGGAATGACTGCTCTCGTAACAGGAGGAACCCGAGGCATAGGTTTGGTAACCGTAGAAACCCAAAAAAAATTCTTCCTTTATCAGTTGCTTCAATATAAATCAATGCATTGACACAATAATTACACAAGTAGATTATTAATCTTTTTTCATTTCTGTGTTGGGCATTAAGGCATGAAATAGTTGAAGAATTGGCAGGATTTGGTGCACTTGTCCACACCTGCTCTCGTAACCAAACAGAGCTAGATCAGTGCTTACAGGAAATGGAAAAACATGGGGTTTACAGTGACAGATTCAGTATGTGATCTGTTAGACCGTGGCCAAAGGGAAAAATTTATGGAAACTGTCTCCTCTGCCTTCCATGGGAGGGTCAACATCCTTGTAATTGTATGATTTAGATGCTTGCCACCATAATGAAAATTTCTTTAGTCAATTTATCCAGCTCTCAATCTATATTCTTGGCTTTTCAACATGCCCACGCCCGTCTAAAATTGCTTCAATTTTCTCACTTTAGTCTTTGTCCATAATTTGCTTAAGTGAACAATGCCGGGACAGCTATTGCTAAAAATGCGGTAGAATTCACCGCTGAAGACAATGGCTATTGATGGTATAAATTTCTTCTGAAGTCCTCAATTGCTTTATCTTTAAAACCCATCAAATTTCACACTACTGTTCTATGACTTCAATATTTTTCTTTCCACAGGATATACTATAGCACCAGCAGGTACCTACTGAGATATTTTAGAAGCCCTGTCCTGGATCCCGGAAAGTTGTATCTGAATGTCTGATCCAGTTTGTAGTTTTTGGCAACAAGACGAGTTGGGCCCTGGAGGCCTGATGCAACCAGGGGTTCTGCGTTGAATGAAGTCTCCATGAAGTATGAACAGGGATAGTAAAATTGCAGGTTTTGGATAGGTTCAAGTTAGGGGTGAGCGATTCCAAGTACCCTATATTTTTCGGGAGAACCGGAACCGCACAATGCAGGTTCCCAAAAAAAGGAACCGGAATCGAAACCGCATAGTGCAGGTTCTTAAATTCAAGGAACCAGAACCTAAAATGCAGGTTCTAATTCCTTTCCCGGGTGCCCTATAAAAAATCAATTACCNTCTTTTAGAGACTTTTAAAGGCCATTGTAAAGTCATCTTCTGCTGCCATGATGTTTCCCAGCTTCACAAACTCAGTTCCGTCTGCAAAATTATTCAACTTCTTCCACCTTCAGAAAAGGAGGTAATTAATTGATAAGTTGATGTAAATTATTTTTACTTGTATACAAGCTGATTCTTTTAAAATTTGGAGTTCCTTTGAGACCACTTTGAATTGCTATTTTCCAAAGTTTTTGATTGTTTCCTTGTATTCTTCAGATTATTGAAGTCTTGGACTTCATTGCTGAACAAGAAGATATTGAATTGCCTCACCAACTGGCTAAACATATGGCAGAGAAGTCTAGGAATTGCCTTCAACAAGCTATTCGTTCATTTGAGGCCACTTGGCAGTCAAAGTAAGTAAAAAACAAGTTCAAAATTCATTCATAATAGTTTCTATATAGACAACCTTACACAACTGATGTGCTTGCAGTTATCGCTTCAAAGATGGTCAATTTATTATGAATGGCTGGGAAGAAGAACTTGCAATGATGGCCAAAAGTATCATTGAAGAGCAAAGTCCAAAACGGTCAGCAGACTGCAGTCATCATTTGCTAATCTTCAATATTTCTGTTTCATTTCATTTATCTTGCTTCCATTTGCAGGTTGTTTATTGTCAGACAAAAGCTTATAACTTTGTTTGAGCACAATTTATCCCCAGATTTCATTTTTAGTGTAAGGCACTCTATACCCTTTGTCTATTTTTGTTCCAGTTAGATTGCAAATTCAAGAATTAAGTCATTATTTTCTTGCACTTTAGACATTGGTGGAAGAATTAGAGAAGCGTATGGATGGTCGAATCAAGTGGCAAACTGAAATTTCATACCAAGAATACCGTGCTGATGTGTGTATGAGGCTAAATTTATCAATTTCCCCCTATTTCTTTATAGAAACACTAATCTGACAATAACTTGTGTATGTTTATACATTATGCAGAATGCTTCAGGCCATTTTGATGGAGATACATTCAAGATACAGAACACAAAGAATAATTTTCAATGCTTTCTGCTCATAGAAGGTAAGCAGTTGATTATTTTTTGTGATCAGTGTATTTTCAGATTAGCCTCTTTGAAGGCTAGACACATATGCATACAAAGTACAAACAAAAAGACCATGTAACTGTAACTAAAGCATTTTTTTTTGACAGAATTCATAGCGAAGTTCATGAGCCACTACAAGTGTTACAGAGGAAGCCTGCACTAATGTGTACAAGCTCCAACTAAAGTTTCCTATGGAGACTTTACCTTTATCAGTAAGCATGTAGTAAATTAGAAATCTTGTGTCCACTGTTGGAAGAAACAAGGACGGTTACCTATGATGTTGAGCTGGAACAGTTATGTGCTATTGATGCTATACTATACATTCGCAAATACTCAAGAGCTGGCTGGAAAGTTTAGGGTCACACAACAGCTAATTTAGAGTGTGCTGAGATGCTGAGCCACATCCCAAATGCAACATGTTCAATACTGTTATCAAAGAAATGAAGATGCTAATAAAAGTTCGATTAAATTTGCAGTAGCAATTTACCTTTCCCTTTGCCAGAAATCAATAACCTCTGCTTAATTTTGATAAACATATATCTACATTGTTCAAAAGCTTGTAACATTATTGTATTCTGGCACATCTTAAAACCAAAAATTGGAATGTACAAATTATAAATGCAGGGTCAATATATAATCTCAAGTAACTTACAATTTGTACGGCCTAGAATTTCAAGTGATATGTAAACAAATAGAAAATATCATCTATGATTCCATAAATTTGTATGGAATGAAAAGAGAAGAAAAGAAAAAGGTTTATTTATACTCTATCGATGTTTCCGGCAGAACAGCCTGTAACCTCACCAAAACCTCCAAAATTTCTGGTGGCTGTTCGGCGTGAGAAGTCCCCAAATGCAATACAACTTCCTGTACAATTGTGCCCCCTTAATAGTTTAATCTTCATATGTTCCGGCAATCTCAATGTATGCCTATCTTCCTCTTGTCTTGTTCTAAGTATTGAGTGTCCTGTTGAGTGACACCTTGAAAATTTCTCAAAATTTTCACCTCTTTCACTTTGTTTAATTATGGTATTATTTAGAGCCCCTTGCTCAATACTTTCTCCTCTACATTCTTCCTCTTCATCTTCCTTAATAACAATGCTTACCGCATCTTCTAATGATAAATTACTTACACTGATATCATTCATGGAATTGCTACGCACATATGGTGGAGATTTTTCCAATGGAATGTCAGGTAAATCAAGATCCCTACGACAAACCGGGCAGGTTTTATGAGAACTAAGCCAAAGATCAATACATTCTTGATGGAAAACATGGTAACAAACAGTTAAAAGTCGGAGCAAATTATTATCCTCAAACTCTGCCAAGCAAATAGCACATTCCAAACCATACTTTTCGCGACGAAAATCTTTAACAGTTGAGTATTGAAACGTGGGGAAAGATTGTACAAGTGAAGGATCAAGTCCTTGATTTACAAAAGAAGAACCAACAACATTTTCTGAGGGACTATTACGATTATTCATTGAGTTAATAATATTTTCCATGAAACACCTACAAAAGTATATGGTAAAAAATCCCACAAAGAAGAACACAAGAAGAGTTACAGTTAAAACAATTGTTATTGGAGGGGCTGAATAATTTTCTGGATGTTCAGGGTAAGGAGGATAATTCGACGACATTGAAAGGCGCAAAAATGGTAGCCGAAGCCTAAAAGGGTGGCCGGAGAATGGAATGATCCGGCCTTGAGTCTTAGCATGGATGAGAAAAAAATTACAATCAAAAGGTGGCGGTTGTCATGGTGTGATAGTTGGTTTAAGAGCAATAGAAAGAACGAAAAAATGCAACATTTTTGTATGCAAATCTAATAGTTTACTTAATTTGGAAGGGTTGATGTGGGGTGGGCGGTTGATGATGGCAATTGAGCGAGTCTTACTCTTTGTGAGAAGGATGAGGTTTGTCTCAAGATTAGCATTTGTAATTTGTACGCCATTAAAATCAAATACCATTAACTTATAAATTACATTTTCATGTGGCTTGTAACACTTCCCTCCGTCCTTGTGGTTTGAGGAAGATGCATAGGCACCCCAAGTATTCTGGAAAGTTAAAAGCACACCCAAAAAATTGACACACTTAAAAGAATATAAAACTTTGTTTCGAAAAAGTCTTTAGCGCCTGTTTGTGTTTGCTTGGGGTTTATCTAGCGCTAAAAGAGCTTACTTGAAGTCATAAACACTTCTGAAATATTTTAGACTGCCTGGTGCCATGGGCTGGGAGTTTCATACTTTGAAGGCTAACCTATTAGGTATAGGGACTCCCACCATTTATAAGCCTAAGACCTCCCCAATACGCTTCCGATGTGGAATTCGTTATATTCTCCCCCATTCTAATCCTATGACACCCTTGTCACAGGTGGGGGACCTTGCCTACCATTCCACCTCACTCTTGTGTGAGCCCACAATCACACGTGGATGCTTCTACGTGGGCGCTTGGTGAGACATCAAAAGACGGATCGGGTTTGCTCTGATACCACTTGTCACGGGCTGAGAGTATCACACCTAAAAGGCTAACCTATTAGGTGGAGGGACTCCCCCCATATATAAGTCTAGGACCTCTCCAATATGCTTCCGATGTGGGATTCGTTACACTGGAAACATTTTAAAAGTGATGGTTGGATTTAAAATAAGCTATTTTACAGCTTATGAGAGAAGCTAAAAATCTGAGATTTTCCAATAAGCTATTTTTATATATTTGACTTGATTTATTCTTGTATGTTATAGTCCACACTAGTAAATTAACACTAAAAAACTCTTTTACATTTTCCTAACCAAACAAATAACAACTTTTTTCAGTAAAGTTATATTTTCATAAGCTCTTATTTAATAAATTCTTCTTGTATAATCTCTATTGAAATAAGCTACATCAAATGGACGCTTAATAACATTGTCTTATTATACTTCTCTTCTCCCATCTTATTTTATTAATTTTTTATTTTAAGTATATAATTTAATTATATTACTAATTTAGTTATATAATAAAGTGGGATTAATTAAAAGGTTTATAGAGTAAAATAATTCAAAATTTAATTTTTTCTGTTTAGTGTTAGAAGATTTAGATACTTTTGAAAAAAAATTATATGTTTTTGAAATGATTATATATATATAGTAAAATAAAGAATTTAACTAACATCTGTCAATCTTTTGGGTGCATTTGTTACTTTCCGTAACCCTTGGGTGCCTTGAGTTTCCCCAAATATTGAGGAGGTAAGAGTCATAAACCCAATGAATAAATTTGTACGAGGACTGATGTCTGCCCGGTTTCGTTTCAACCATTTAAGTGAATTTTACTTAAATTGACTATTTGTGGTAGCTTTTGTAAACAAGAAACAAAATAAACGAAAAACGGATTCACACAAAACACTAGAAAGCCAAAAACAAAACAATTGATATGGTGATTAAATGCCATTATCAAACGATGAATATATTTCAAGTTTCTTAACAGTCATTATGTATTGGTCATTCTGTCATTTATATACAAAACTCTCTGTATCCCACTTTAATTTTACCATCTTTCTTTAGGCCTTTGTGTCCTCTCATTCAGGAAATGTTTTCTACAAAATTACTTCTGTGTCTTAAGATTAGCAACATATGTTTTCATTCTTAATTTTGTTACTATTTTCGCAAACCAATAATATCAATGTTTTAAAACCCGGCCTGACCCAACCAGTTGAATTGGGACCCAAAACCTTCACCGGGTTGGGTTACAATTTTTCCTATTCATTGAAAACCCTAGAAATTAGGACATCAATTCATAAACAATTGAAGACTGGAATGTTAGGGCTTTTGAAGAGGATTGGCCAGTGACTGCAATGGTGGCGATGACATCAATTTCTGGTGAGTGAATCGACTAGAAATCGCAAAACAATGTCGCCAAAAAAAGCCCGCTGTCGTCGGTAATTGAGGAGGCAAACAAGGGAGGGGTGAGATGGGTTTTGGTCAGGAGGCTGGGGGGAGTGTTGTCGTCACTGAAAATAGACCCTATTTGCCGACGGTGGTGTTCGAGGTGTTTTTGCAATATTTCAAACTTATAGAGACTTATAAATTTTTAGGAGTATTTTTGTTAGATTTTAAAACTTTAGACACTGGTTTGACCCACCAGTCAACCTAGTACCCGACCACTTTGTAAGGTTTCACCCCAGGTTGGGTTTTAAAACATTGGATAACATATTCCCAACTACATGAAACTGATTGGCATCATGTACACATACATCATGTAATTGTGCTGCCACCAAGAAGGCTGCAAGTGTTGTCAAACAGAGAGGAGCACAAAAATGAATGATCAAATTTATCATCTTATACATATTACCAGAAATTAAAGAAAAATCCTGTCAAAGAAAACTGACTAATCATCAGTGAAAAAGCCAAAACTATCATAAATTTGCCACTGATATATAATATATGTGACCTATTATTCTACAAAATTAGTTTTACCTTGCACTTAAGAATCAGAATTCAGAGCTCTGACCATGGTGTGCCTGCCAATCATCAACATAGCTCAGTAGCTTACTGCAGAAAATTCGAACATAACTCGAACCACATATAATATAGAAATTCATAGTAATTATGCATTTCATTCCAACACATTACATTCAGAAAATTATCATCATATCTTCCAAAGTTTAGGTACCTAAGGTTTACTAAATTCAGGTTTCAGAAGCCTGGGAAACAATAAAAATTCCGATTACTTGAGACTTGAGAGCAAGGCTCAAGGAAGATTAGAAGAAAGGAGATCCTGGAGTAAGATATTCTTAAAAATATATTAACAAAACAATAAAAATTTCAACTAACAAACAATGTACATAATAGAAAATAAATACAAGCAATGACATACATCAGGGTATAATGCCAGAACTGAGGCCAGACTTAGCTGAAAGCTATGGCTGTGTTTGGTTTACTATTTAGAACGCTATCCTATCCAATCCTATTCAAAATACATATTAGTTTCAATATTCTCAAAATTCAATCCTATTTTATTCAACGCAAAATATTTAGATTTTTTTAACTCTTTAGGTTTGTTAAGTTAACTAAACACCCCCAACAATAAAAGTTTATAAATTGATAGAAACACCTCCATCCACCCACATAATGCCAGCAGTGATACGAGCTTGAAAATACATGTTTTGTTAGTGATTCAATTGAATTATTTGTGGAAAAATTGAAAAGAAGAGAAAACTATTTGCCTTTTGAATAATTTTATTGAATTAGGAGACATAGCTAATAGCTTTATACAAAAGATTTCCTACAATCTTGCTTGTCTCTTCTAGGTAGTCTAAGTATAAAAGGCAACTAAACAAATATATCCTACAATCATGCTAATCTATTCTAGGTAGTCTAAGTATAAAGGGCAATTAAACAAGAGTAATGCTACAGTCACTGGGAGTAGTGCACCGAATATGTGCACCGAATGACGTGGCGCAATCCTGACCGTCTATTAATATTAAGTTATAATTAATCGACGGTCAGGATTGAGCCACGTCATTCGGTGCACATATTTGGTGCACTACTCCCGGTGTTTCTATTATTTTCCATTAAACAAATATACAATTAATACAATATATTTGTCAATGAATGGCCATATATCATTGACCTTCCTTTCTCAACACTCCCCCTCAAGTTGGAGAGTGAATGTCAAGAACTCCCAACTTGCATATCATAGTTGAGAAAGCTTCCTTTCCCAATGGCTTGGTGAACACATCCGCAAGTTGATTTGTTGAGGCAATATGTTTGGTTACAACTGAACCATCTTGTATTTTGTCATGAATAAAATGACAATCCATCTCTATATGTCTAGTTCTTTCATGGAAAACGGGATTGGCAGCTATATGTAAGGCGGCTATGTTATCACAATATAACAATTCTGGCTTTGGATGGAATATTCTAAAATCTTTCAATAATGAGCGTAGCCAAGATAATTCACAGCATGTACCTGTCATGGCTCTATATTCGGCTTCTGCTGAGGAAAGAGATACGGTTTTCTGTCTTTTTGTCGGCTAGGAAATAAAAGAAGATCCTAGAAAAACACAATAACCCGTAGTGGATCTACGAGATATTGGACAGCCAGCCCAATCCGAATCAGAAAAACTCGCAAAGATAAATCATTTTGAGAAGGGAAAAACAAACCTTGTCCTGGACTACTTTTCAAATAACGCAATACATGCAAGGCAGCTTCCATGTGTGGTCTCCGTGGTGCATGCATAAATCTACTTAACACATGGACCGAATAGGTGATATCTGGCCGGGTAATAGTCAAATAAATTAGGCGTCCAACAAGTCGCCTATACTGAGACGGATCTTTAACAATTGACCTGGATCCGAGAGCTTTATGTTTTGTTCCATGGGAAAGTTCACAGGTTTAGCACCCAAAAATCCTCCATCTTTTAAAATTTCCAAAGTATATTATCGTTGTGAGATGGAAATACCTTTCTTCGACTGAGAAACTTCGATACCCAGAAAATATTTCAAATCACCCAAATCTTAATCTAAAAATGACTATGTAGAAATTGCTTGAGAGCTAATATGGCATTGACATCATTACCCATAATAAGAATGTCGTCAACATATATCACAAAGTTGTAAAAGTTTTGCCTTTCCAACATATGAATAATGAGTAATTTGCTTTGGAT